CGGATCTCCGCCGACTCGCGGTCGTATCGCGCACCACGGATGTACGATGTGCATGCAAATGGAGCCAACGTGCCTCGCGAGCGCGTCTCTCTCTCTCTCTTTCTCTCTCGCGCGCGGCAAGAATCATTTTCGATATTGCACGGAGCTAAAATAACCGGCGTGTCCTTCTGCGGCTCTGAAATAGACGGATAAACGAAGACTATAGACGGAGTGGAACCCTCCCGAGCGGCGTATTTATATGTGACGTCGGCGTATTTTGTACTTCGTAACAGTGTTGTTTCGCTCGACTAACGCTCAGCGTATTTTCGCATATTAAATAATACCGGGAGAGAAATAATGTATCGGTCAATACATTATTAGCGGTGGCTGGAAATCGCGCGCGAGGTCGCGCAGGTCTCTACACACCGATTAACTCTTTGCGCGCAGGATTTTAAAACAAAAAAGACTCTAGTTGCACAGAAATTTTATTTATATTATAAAAAACTATAAAAAATTTATATTATAAAAAATAATATATTATAAAAAAATATATTATTATAAAAAAACATAATAAAGTAGATTTGTATGTATATATATAGATATCTTTTGAAAACGAAAAATTGTGAAGATTAATCAGATGAAGAAACTGAGAAGAAAAGTCATATACTATTTTGCAAAAATCGTAATAGTTATTAAGTCATCAATGGTTGAAAATTACTTTTTTAATTGATAATTTGAAAATTTGCATACTTATTTGCAAAATGATAAAGGATTTTTTTGTTCAGAATGACCAGACCTCCAATTATATGATGGCTATTATCTAGCGATACGTATGAGTATATTGAACTTTGAATTCTGAATCTTGAATCTATCCTTAGGCACAATAGCCGTCATGTAATTGTAAATTAGATCATTCTGTACAAAAAATTCTCTTACCCTTACCATTTTGCAAATAGTATGCAAATGTTCAAATTATCAATTAAAAGAGCTTCTATATAGATGTGGTCATTTTCAAACATTAACAACTTAATAACAATTGCGATTTTTGCAAAATGGTATATGACTTTTCTTTTCAGTTTGATCTTTACAATTTTTCGTTTCCAAAAGATCCCGGATATCTTGCATATATATATGTATATATTTCTTATTTATTTATTTATTTATTGACGAATTAAACTGTTGTATCTCGAGTTAATTTGATATTTCAAAGTGGGACGAAAAACATCGCACTATGCATATATAAGTACTAAAAATGGCACTTTTTATCCCACGATGCACCAAAGAGTGGAGCAAAAACGCTGGATCTTACTTTGAAAGTTATAGTCGTACTTTTGACACCAAGTGTATCCTCTTATTTCTCCCAGAATGAAAGAGCCGTTAGCCCGAGTTGCTCGCGATTTACGAGCGGCGAGTGTTCGGCGGGTACACACGTGCGCGAGATTGGAACACACGTGAGAGATAGAGAATTCTGCCGTTTAAAATACGAGGGGGAGGGGGGGAGGGGGAGTCTCCTCTTCCCTCGGGTCGGCCATTTACGACTCCTGTCTGTAGTAACGACGGGCGTTCTATTATAGGGAGCCGTAACGGCGACCTTACGCGTTAACACACGGCCGCGCGTCGCACATGCAACGCGGCTCGCCTCACGTGCGAGCGATTTTTCCGCATGAACGAGGTCGAGTGTGAGAAGAAGGATTTTCGACACGATTTTAAACACGTATCGATCGGGGGATGCGTGTCCTTGCCCTTTCGCAGCCGGCGAGGCGTTTAAGGTCGTCGAATGGAGACGCGGCTCTCCCGTAGGAGACCTTACCGGCTTTGTGCGACTTGTGTGGAGGAGGAGCCGGCGGTGATGAGAGGGAGGTGACGCGCTAGAGAATGAGAGAGAAACCTCGTTAGTGGGATTATGTAACTATCTATACACGCTCATTAAATGAGATCAGCTGTAGCTGCACGAGGGTGCGCGCGAGGCGATTAAAGAGTCGTGAATGTGGAAAATACCGTCGACGCTCGGTGGCCTCCGCTGGGAAAAAAGCACCGGCTGGAGTTGGCTTGTAGGCCATCCTGATAGACTTTTTATGACCATCGCGATCGATGGGTGGGAACTGCGATTTTTTGTTGGCAGCGCGCTTACAGGGGAGAAGCGATATTTCGTTTTGTGGGAACGAGTTGTAATCGGATTTCCCGTTACCTGGGGACCAAAGGTCCTCGCTCGCGGGGATGGGGAGATTCCTGCAGGATGTTTCCGCCCGACAACATCCGTAAATAACATTGTCATCGTGCGACTCCCTCTCTCCTCTCCTTCGAAAGAATCATCATCGGGAGGATCATTCGCGTGTTATTCGAGAGAATGCGCGATTCCGTGCGTATCTTTCTCCTTCCTTACATTCGCGATGCAGCGCGCCCGAGAGAGTCGCAGCGTCATTGTCATCGATGAATGATGGCCGCTAATGGTCGCTCACGAGGCGCGACGGCCGCGTTGATTATCATCGGGCTGTTGCAAGGTGATTACGCTCGGCTGATGACGGTGAACGCACCGCACTCGAGACGGATTCGTCGCGGTCTGTTTAACTGATTATACCGTGAACTGAGCGAACACCTACGCTACGTGCCGTTTCCTCCTCGTCTTGTACACCTCCAACGTTATTGTTATGACGTATATACGGCTCGTACATAACGCGCCGAACCGGAAGCCAGCCGTCTCCGTTAAAATTTGTGTCTTACGTCTCGCTCCACATGTACACGCCGTATATAATTAATTTCGTGGCGGAAAGCTGGACAGAGTTGAGTAACAATGTCGAACATTGAGAGCGCGGGATGCGCCTGCATTCTTCTCCTGTAACTTGTTGGAACTTCGCGTCCACGTTCTTCATGATGCGACGGATCCCTCGGGCCGAGATTAATTTTACCGCGCGTCCCGTTCGAGAGCGCGCTAACATTTCTCCGTGCATTCTCCGGCAAGTTCATTCTTTGCAAGTTTTTATTATCAATAAATATTATTATTTATTCACAGGCACTAGACCCATTTCACGCACAAAGCTGAAATACAATGTTGATTTATGTGAGTCGTCGAGAAAAATTCTAAATGTGCGAAATTAATAACATACGCATAAAAGTACAACAAGAAATAAGAGATACGACGTTAAATTATATTATAATATTATATCAAATATCATATTTAGTAGTAGTAAAATATCTAACTAAATAAAATATCATATATTAATAAAAATCATATTTTATTTTATAATTTTAATTAGCACTAAGAGAGAGAGAGAAATTTAACGTAGGACAAGTATGTAGGTTATATTATGTCTAGTAGTTAATTCTTTCCGATGAAATTTATATAGCTCAGAGCAAAATTTGAAATTGAAATATTCTGCCGCCTTTTCGCTTCGGTTTAAAAATGTTGACATTTAACTTTACGAAATGACATATGGTTTGGCGTTTGATGCATATAACTTCAAATAATCAGTTCACGATGGCTACCAACAAAGAGCATATTCGATATGCGATATGTCTTTCGCATTTATTTAAAGAAAAACACTTCTGAGGCAGCCAAAATAATTTGTGCCGTCTATGGTAAAAATACTGCGGCCGATCGCACGTGCTGAAAGTGGTTTGAACTGGTTTCCGAAGTGGAGATTTTGATTTTCACGATCAACCACACCTCGGTCAGCCAAAAAGATATGAAGACGAGGAGTTGCAAAATCTACTGAATACGGCATAAAAAGAACTTGCGCAAAAGCTGGAAGTAAGCCATTTGCTTACTATTTGAAGAAAGCTATTTGCGGTCGTTTACATCGTATGGGAAAAGAGCAGAAAGAAGGTTAGTGGGTTCCACACGAGCTAACTATTGACAAAATAAAAATCGCCGATTGACCACATGTGTTACCTTGCTCGCCAGATAACAAAAAAGATTTTTTGCACAAAATCCGGTGACGTAACTAGTGACGAGAAATGGATTATGCATAAAAATTCTAAATGCAAAAAAATCATGGGTAGATCCTGGTCAACCGACAACATCGACAGTAAAACCCAAACGTTTCGGAAGAAAGTTCTTTTCTGTACATGGTGGGACCAGAAGAGTGTGCTGCACTATGAGCTCTTGGAACCGGGTGAAACCATTAAAGCAGAGATTTGCCAAGAGCGATTGATACGTTTGAGCGGTGCAGTTGAGAAAAAAGGTCACTTACTGAACAACAAGGCAGCCGTAAAGTCATTCTGCTGCACGACTATGCTAAACCGCGTATAGCAGAAGCTACAAAGGAAACTTGGGTTGAGGAGTTATCCCATATGCGGCGTATTCTCTATCTAGACTTGACTTCGTCAGATCTTCACTTGTTTCGGTCGATGCAACACGCACTGTCTGATACACATTTTTCGACAGTTGACGACATACGAAATTTCATCGATGACTTTATAGCCTCAAAGGCACCAAGTTCCTATCGTGACGGGATTCCAACTGCCCAACAAATGGCATAAGGTCATCGACAACAACGGAGAATATTTTATTATTGATTAATCTTGTTCTATTGATTTTTAAGTAAAGATGGAAAATTGTCGAAAATCGGAAAGAATTAGCTACTAGACCCAATATTTTATTTTCTAATAAATAAAATAACTTACCGTTCGTCAACTTGTTATAACTTTCGCTATATCTATTTCAGCAGTGAAAATTACATTATACGCGAAAGAGTTGTGTTCTCCATTATTGATTTATTTCGTTGCCCCGAATAATCCTTATATAAGTTACCTTTACAACAAAAATCAAGGAGCCGGGTTTATGTACGACAGATACTGTAAAATCGGGTTTCAGTATTATATGTATATATAAATATTAAATTACTGATTTTTACCACTTGATCATGTATTCATCACTGAGTTCAGTTGAATTCATTCATCAAACCGTTTTTAAAAATATAACGTCAAACGTCCATCGGAGACGCCATATTGTCATTTGTCCGATGAAAATGCAAAATGCATGGATTTATACTGAATTAAAAAACTCCCTTTTTCTCTTGCAGCGGCGAAAAGGATGCCGGCGATAAGAAGGAGAAGGACAAGAAGAAGGGTGAGTAGCAGCCTGCCCTTTGGAACTCCTTTACCTTTCTTAGGGTTTACTTCGGCCGTTGAAGTCTTCGTTAATATAAATCGTGATTATAAATTCAAATTCGTCGTGTAATCTTTCCTCTTTTCCACGTCGTGAGACGCCTCGCTTCGATACCGACAACTCGAGTCGTTCGTCGACGTTGAGAGATTCTCGAGTCAAGAGATTTTTTTTCTTCAAAAACGCCGCTCTCTCCACGACGTCGAGCAGCGCGAGCAGCGTGTTCTTTCTGCGTGAAACTTCACGCGGAAAAAAGGATTGCCTGTGAATTAACGTGACGATGAACGGATCAGGCGCGAAATTTTAATCGAGGGAAATGGGATTTCTCTTGAAGTCGAGTTTGGTTCGGGGAAGAGAAATTTCGTCGCCTTCGCTCGGTCGAACATTCGACGAAAATGCGATCGATTCTTTTCTTCTGTTGATACCGGTGAAACCTTTTTTTTTCATTTTCTAAACTCTTGATATAAAACGTACGAGACGCGCTGAAGGAAGAGAAAACGCGAGAAAGGAAGAACGAACCGAACGCGTCTTGGTCGAAGGAAACGGAGTTCCTGCTTCTCTTAGGACTGAATTTACTTCATAAGAAGCCGAGATTCGTCTCCCTTCGGTCAACACGCGCTTGGTCCTTTCACTGTCGCATAAAATCAGCCAAAGTTTTTGCGAAAATCCCCGGACCTAACGAAAGCCTTTGTCCGATTCCAGAAAATGCCGTCCAGCCACATTGTCACATCACACTGAAATGCACACGCGAGGTGAGTGACTCCTTCCGGCCGGCTCTTAATTTAGACGCAACCTTGTGCAAGAGGAAAGACGCTGAATTCGCCGGATAAAGAGATCGAGAGACGCGAGAGAGAATGAAAGAAAAAGGGATAGCAGGGACGGACGTATGGGAGAAAGACAGCAAGAGAGAGAGAGAGAGAGAGAGAGAGAGAGAGAGAGAGAGAGAGAGAGAGAGAAAAGAGAGATGGAGAAAGTGACAAACCGTCGACGGGCTCTTATATTTCCTATATGCTATACTTAGACGCCGCGTAGAATGGCGACGCGAGGCAAGAGGAGGCGCAACGGGATCATTATCCGTTCCTAAATTTACAGATCGCCGGTTTCAATGGCCTGAGCGACGCCCTGAAGAGGCTGGACTTCCTGTCCGCAGTGCACGACTGCCGTCGCTTCAACTATATCGTCCGCCTGCTCGATCTCCTGGTCAGTCACAGAATGGGCGGCCTCAGCGGGTGCGCGCAGAGAGTGCTCTTCAACATGCTCGAAGAAGTCGCTCTGGAAGGTAAAGCGAGATTGCCTGATAGCAAACCTCTCGCGAGACTCGTCCGTGCCGAGGCGATCCGGACGCGACAGGGACGTCTCCGTGACTGGATCAGGATTGCTCGCACTTCGGTCTGAACTAGCGACCGTTGTTTCCAGTGTCGCTGTCGCAACAGCAAACCGGAAGACTGCGACGTCTCATTGAGAGAGTCCGGGCCTTCAGCGCCGGCTGTTGCTGGGGTGGCAGACCTTTGGGCTCTGTTATCCTGTGGGAGAAGCATAAAGCGGCTCTGGAGAGGATCCTGCAGATCGCCTCGTCCATCACTATCACCCAGGTAACGACCGATGGCTCGTACCGGCGAGCTCAGACTCAGGACATGCACAAATGCACGATGCACGCTTTGTGAGAAAATATTTGGAACCGGTCGAACAGTTCCTGGACAGAGTCTAAATTCGGGCCGGAATGTTTATATTTCTAAACGAGAAGAGGACAAGTAGGAGCTGCACGTCAGTTCCTTTTTGCGAGAGAAATAAATCAATATTCCATAAATGATGCATGATACAAAAGGGAGAACAACGTTCGGATCTTATTTGTCTCAATTTATTTATTTATTGTACATTCTGGTTTGAAACTATAAAAATTCCTAAATAGCGTATTATTGTTATATTAATGCGTGCTCTAAATAAAGTATTATGCATTATTTATACAATGCATTAATTATCACTTTTTCCACGATGACGTTGAAAGATATTTTATTCAAAGCTACTTTTCCATAACTAATTACTTTCATTGGTTCCGATTAGTTCAAATATTCATGATGGAGTTAAGAGCCCTGATTGTTGATCTTATTAAAAAAAATGTCCGTCTTTTTCAACGGCAAAGCAGCCGTCTTTTGCGATAGAGGTACACATGAATTCTGTCATAGATCGTTGGCAAAGTGTTGTAAATAACGATTAACTGGCTAATCCGTTTTACCATCGAACGCAACAGAGTGAGATTTCACTCTGAGACCGCACCAAACTCTTCGACTCATCCGATACACGCTCGCCGATCGATAACGAACGATTACCTGCTCGTAGCCGGACGAGGAACAGCAACCACAGTGGTCGGATCTGCCGCCCGAGTGTCGTCGGGAGGTGCTTCTTCGTTTGAGTGACCCGCGCGACATCGAGGCCTCGTCCGAAGCTTGCGAACATCTCGCCATCTTGGCGCAGGAGCAGAGAATCTGGCGCGAACTTGCCCAATATCACTTCACGCCGCAGCAGATCGCCACTACCAGGCAAAATAACCCTGGAAAAGACTGGAAAACTATATTCACTATCGCCCGAAGGTCAGTACCGCGATGGGGAGTTGCTTTCACGCACGATTGCGAATTAGCGTCGAGGATCAATCGACTGAAATTTCTTCGTCGACTGAAACGATGAAAATTAACATTGAATCATGATTACGCGTAATAATTAATTCAATCGATCGATTTGATGGGTTCTACACGCTGACTAATAGTTAACTTATTTTCTTTCACCCGATTGAATTACTCATAATTATTAAGAGTGTGATTTAGTTTTGAGAATCTTTTCCTCAAAAACTGATTTACTTAAACAAAATAATGAACGAATACCTTAATCAAAATATTTTCCTTCCATCAAATACGCAGAAATATCTTTGAACCGTGAATATCGCGCCTCGAAGTGGATGTTGCTGGTTAGCCTGAATCAACCCATGATTTTTTTCGTTTGGGATTATCGAAATAGATCCATCTTTTTATCTCGGTAACAGTTTGATAAAAAAAATTAATTTTTTTCTGGCAATCAACGAAATGCAAATATTCAACTGGTTTGCATTGGCAGTTTCCGGTAATTCATGTGGAACCATTTTCCTTCTTTGTGAATCTTTCCCATATCATGTAAACGTTTAGTAATTGTTGTACGATCAACATTTAATGCTCTGGCAAGTTTCAAAGTGGATTGTGCTGGATTTTCGTCTGATAATGCTTGCAAATCTGCATTTTCAAGCTTTTTTGCTTGTCTCGAGCGATTTTTGTCGTTAACATTGAAATCACTATTTTTGAATCATCTAAACCAGTATTCACATGTTTTAATTGATGGAGCAGCATCACCACAAGTTTCTATCAGAGTTCTATGACCTTCAGCCGCCGTTTGTTTCTGATTAAAAAACAAAAGCAACGCATGTCGAAAATGCTCTCTAAGAAGCTCCATTTATAAAATGGTATTAACATGATTTTTGTTGCATTTATTGTTAGTAAATGACTAAATATCATAGATTAATGTTAAGGCATTAAGAAACAATAATAGCTGTGACTGGAATGTCTGACAAAACTGACATTAGTGCTATCTCTTGCAAAACTCTCAAAACTAAATCACACTCCTAATATAATAATACATGGTACACTCCTAATACATACTAGCAATGTTTCAACATCGCTGATATGTTGCTGAAATATTGCTTGCCAAGTGGGATGAATACACGTACGTTGGATTGGCTGTCCTTCATTCGTTTACCCGAGGTTTCGACTCTCCAGTTTTATGAGTGTCTCACATCGTTGTAATCTTCAGGTCGTTCGGATTGCGGGAGGAGTACGCCGAGATGATACAGCTGTGCCGCAATTGCCGCTGCTTGTTCTGGCGGTCGCTCGGCCACCCGTGCATCGCCGATCAGGATCCAGCGTTTCAAGAGAAGCTGGCGGACGTCGACCAGGCGTCCCTCCACGTACCGATTCCTCCGCAGACTTTCCTGAAATTCTTCTCGCTATGAAAGCTCTCGTATGTCCTGTAAGAGGCAGAGTGCACGGTATACGTGTATATGTATGAGTGCGTGCATGCGCGCGCGTGTGCGTGCGCGAAAAATGCGGAAGCTATGACGCAACTGCGAATGTGATTGTCGCCGAAAAAGGCGAGAGTGAATGGGTCCGCGTGTGTGTACACGTCGGTAAAGATAAAGAGAAATATAGAACGACGTTTAAAAATGTTGCTCTGCACGTAGAAAGAGAGATTCTAACGTTATCTTCTGAAAGGAAAAAAAAAGTATATTTAATCTGAGATATAATATATATATGCGCTCTCAGGTGTACCGGGCGCGGCTGCGAGACGCAGAGATCGGCACGGGGAACGCGTTCCCGGCGGGGAGTTCGACCTACGTCGATGTCGCTTTAACGAGTATCTTCAGGTGGAGGCCTACTTACCTCATAATCGAGCTCGATGGTTTGAAGAATGGCACAAGAATTCCGGCTCGCCGCCGGGAACTTATCGTTAATTGGCGGACAAGAAGCGCAAGGAGGTACGGATATTTGCGCCAACTTTATATGCGTGAGAGGAGGGGGGGGGGGAGATACGCGAATCGATATCTTCCGAGGTTGTAACTTCAACTGCTTCGTAATTAGCGACTCTCGCTCGCACGAGCTTCATCAGGGCGAGGTTGGCTGCGAACTCGTGAAGTACGCAGTTGCTCCTTATCGCCGGTTCCCGCCTCTTCAAGCTTCGTCTCGTATCTTGATTGAGTGCGATTGGTATTTTATGGTCAAGGGAGTCCCGACTGTAACACGAGACTCTCGGAGATCCGCGATTTTTGTCTTCGAGACTCCTACAGTGAAATACGTTCTCGAAAGGGACAAGAGAGAGAGAGAGAGGGTATTTCTATTATCCTTGGAGTTATGGTCGTAGAAAATAGGTACTAGTCGTAGAACGATGTTGTTTAAAAAAAAAATGTCCTCGAGAGAGATGGAGAATGTGTATGTGTGTGTGTGTGTGTGTGTGTGTGTGTGTGTGTGAGAAAGCGGGAGGGAGAGAGACTGCGCGTGAGGATATTATCGATTTACGCTGACAAGCTTTCGGTGTTTGAAGCTGACAAATGACTACGTGTGATTTTGCGGTAGCACCTCACCACCCTCGAGGTTCGTCTTCGGTGATAACGGCATCGAGCAAGCTGTCCTTCGCGAATCTTTCGCCGACCTAAACACCACGCAAGACGTGCATTCGCTAAATCAGCGAGTGCTGGGATGCGCGTATACGTTTGACGTTCCGCGCAGCGAGAGAAACTTTCTTCATTTTTTCTGACACCGAGTGTTATTTTATCGAAGATCGCACGAGAATTGCATGCGGGCCAGAGAGAGTTCTCAATATTATTGCGCGCGCGTGCGCGCGCGCTGCAACGATCAAAGACTACTTCTCTCCTATGCGATATTAAATACGAAGACAATCGAGTCCACATTCGCGGAGTAAATTCTCTTCTGCCGTCGTCACGGGATTTTTACGCCGATGTTAACGTTGACAGTGAAGTGAAGAAAATTTGGACGAAAGGAGACGGACCGCGTGCGCATCGTATGCAGACAAGTGTACGACATACTCGTGCTCGTTACGCGAAGAGGTGCAGCTGTTTCTCAGCCCCGAGCGTACTTTTCGTGCTACTGACAGCTCTACTGCATTTCATGTTCGCATTTAGATAATTTTTTTAGTTTTTTTTTTTTTTTAGCGATATTATCGCTTTCGTATATGACATTTAATTGTATATAAATATAACGGCAAAGCATCTATTGCGCTTCCTTTTGTAATATATACATATACATACACACATACACAAACACACACACACACACACACACACACATATGCATGACATGCGTCGATTTTTTTTATTTCCTCGGATTATTCGGGCGCTGTGGTTTCTTTGTGCAATATTTTTGTACCCCTTTTGTTTTTCGTTTTTTCTTCTACCCTCATTTTCCTTACATCCCCTTGGTCTTTTTCTCCCCGCGCTTGTTTTTGGCAAAATAACGAGTTTATTTTTGACGAAACGCGAGCATGTTTTCGCAATTTCCGAACTGTCGCGGGGAAGCCCGAGGAGGAACTTCTCCAACTTCGTGGAACACTGTTGCCGACAGTTTCGAGAGGAGACAGTTCGAGTTGTCTAGTTGTTGTGATGTGAGAAAAGGTGTACATTAGTTAACTTTACAAAAAGTACAAAACGTTAAACCATCACTATAGTCGATTGATACGATTGAACGCAGACGGATCGCGGAGACCTGTCGTCGCTTATACAGGGTGTCATAGTTCAAGCAATACAGAGAGAGAGAGAGAGAGAGAGAGAGAGAGAGAGAGAGAGAGAGAGAGAGAGAGAGAGAGAGAGAGAGAGAGAGATAGCGTGTAATTCGAATTTTCGCATTCTGTATGTTGATTTGAAGAGAGAAAGCTCTTATATTGACATTCTTTACTATTGCGATTGTTGCGCGTATATTCGTTTAGCTATATAAATAATGACGCGGATTTCTAACGAACACCTAAGTTACGATACGACGTGTAATAAAAAGAAAAAAAATGATAACAGGACGGTCGTACTGCATATTAATTGGAGAATGGAAAATTATACTGCCAAAGTGGATGTTATATTATTATATTTATACGAGGCGACGAAACGTCGTTTGTGTAAATTTCCGTATAGCACGAAAGGCGTTTTTTTGATATTTGCTCTTTTATTCGTAGCAAAACTTAAAATCATTGCATGACTTAAATATATACTAACCTAGTCACTAAATCAAGAGGAGATGACCAAAATCGCGGGTGAGTCGCAGTGTTAAAATTGTAAGCTCACGATAAGAGTTCTCGGCAGCTCACTGTGTACATTAATTAATAATCCAACGAACTGGTCTCTATAAAGTGCGAATGTATATATATGTACGTATACATATGTACATATATATATATATATATATATATACATATATATATATGAATGTATGTTCACGTACATATGACTATAAAGCAATCCTACGATCAGGATTATTTTACTTACGTAAGCAAATGTGTAGAACAGTGTTGTGCAAAGTGCTTCAAAATAAACTTTATTTAAATATATATGCGTATAGCGTTTGCATCAGTTGATAAATCAAACCCATATGCGATATAAAGTGTTATTCTGAGATATTTACCTTATCATTCCGTGTTCTGCGAGGTTAGCACGACGTTTTAAAAGTTATTAAAAAACAATGTTGGTTCCAGTAGCATTTTTCATAGTTCTACAGTTCCTGATAAAAATAAAAAAAAAGTAGCGTATTTTTCTTTGTTTCGACGAGCACTACCGAATGCAATTCTAAAAGTTCACAAAAACCTGGTTTAGATTTTTATTTCTGTGTCCATGAAATTTAGGAAAATCTAAACTAGCCGTTTCTTGTGAACTTGTGAACTTTTAGAATAGCCACCGACGAGGTAATAAAGACTGTCAACCCTGGGTACCCGGAGGTAATTGAAGAGCTATGATAATACCGACTGCTATAGCTACGTTCAAGATAATATAGCGAGCAACTATTGCCTGTGCGCGACGAGAGGAAAGACACGCGTCACTATTGGTGTTTTACCTCGTCGTACCTATCCAAGGTCCGTAAATAGAGACAGAATGAAGCCAGGTCTTCTCATAGCCGCCATTTTGGAGCCAGAGAATCTGTGTTAGTGTACGTGATATCAGTGATACGTACTATGTACGTGTGCAGTATTATGGTTTAGTTGTGTGAGTGATCAAACAGCTGAGCCACGATCGCCGCCGTTTTCGAGCCAAACCGTATGAAGTGGACGAGAGGATCTGATTCTCCATCTTTCTATTTACGGATCTTGCACCTAACTTCCTGCCACCAATAGTTGCTGAATCGATTAGGCCGCGCTGTGGCCCGAGCGGCGGCGAAACATTTCTATCCATCTCGCGACGCTAAGTCGGCCGCGTGGCCAAGCCGACGGTGCGGAGCGGCTAAGGCCCAGTTCCACAACTTGCTTTAACGGAGTTTAAAGCAAGTTGTGGAACTGGGCCTAAGCGACGGCCACGGGGACGCGACCCCGCGCCTGCGGCGCGATTCTTTAACTCGTTATTGGAGTTAACAACACTTTCGTTATCGTTGCGCACCTTTTGTATACCGTAGAAAAGCTGCGCAACGATAACGGAACTGTCGTTAACTCCAATAATGAGTTAAAGAATCGTACCACTGGTAGCGATCCAGTGGTGCGATTCTTTAAGGCCCAGTTCCACAACTTACTTTAAACGGAGCTTAAAGCTAAACCGATGGTTAAAAGCAATAGTATATGCGCATATACTATTGCTTTTAACCATCGGTTTAGCTTTAAGCTCCGTTTAAAGCAAGTTGTGGAACTGGGCCTAACTCGTTATTGGAGTTAACAACAGTTTCGTTATCGTTGCGCAGCTTTTCTACGGTATACAAAAGCTGCGCAAGGATAATGAAAGTGTCGTTAACTCCAATAACGAGTTAAAGAATCGCGCCGCTGGTGAGGCCGCGTGGCCAAACCGACGACGGCAACGATATCGATTATAAAAGTGAATTGTATTACCACACGTTAAGTATCTGAACCTTTTCGTACTTGATCTTAGCTTAAGCAGGCGAGAAGTGGCAGAACGGTATGATACTTTTATGTTTGTCCTTACCCGCTCTATATCTTCACGAACTCTGCAACAATTATTATTGGACACCCTGTATATAAGGTGTTGCAAAATAATTTTTACAGAGCTCGTGGAAATATAGACTGGATTAAAATAAATATAAAAATGCCGTAACGTTTTTCGATATTGGTAATTGTTTATTAATTACAAAAATCGAAACTGTCGTTAACTCCAATAACTAGTTAAAGAATCGCACCACTGTGGTGCGACTTTGTAGCTCGTTATTGGAGTTAACGACAGTTTCGTTATCGTTGCGCAGCTTTTCTACGGTATACAAAAGCTGCGCGATAACGAAACGAGTTAAAGAATCGATTAAAATTATTTTTGTTTCAACGTTGAATAACTCGATAAAAGAAAGTCGCACCGCGCGATCTGCACTTATGCAAATTGAAAACAAAAGTTTTCAAATTGTATAAAGATCATTTATATGACTTTTTGTTTACATAATGAAACTTGACAAACGTGACAGAAATTTCTAACATTGATGAATCTTAATTTTTATTCATATAAGATAAAATAAAATGTAAAATAACATATATGTATATATATTTAAAGAAGAATGTGTAAAATGTAGAGATTTTAAGCTACAAAATGCTTCACGCGAATCATCTTATCATCATTTTATTTACGGAAATCTCACCTTAGTGAGTTTTGCTTATTTTTGTAATTTAAAAACTCCGTACTTTTTACATACAATGTACATAAAACTAAGAAAGAAAAGCAAAGAGAAGGATATTAGAGATAAATATTACACAAAAATTGCACTTTTGATTGCATTACTTTTTAATTTAAAATATATAAACTGTACATATATATATATTTATAATTAGTATATATATATATATATATCTATATATATATATTTATATATTTATGTAATATAGTAGGTGTGAGCATGATAAATTAATGTGTGTAACATATTTATACGAGTGGCAGTTGAGCTGAGAGGGAGAATCTTAAATTTTCCTAAGAAGCTGGTAAAAGCCGTACTTATCTTGTAAATATTTTACCACTTTTCCCTTTTGTGGAAAACATCGTTTTATTTTCTTTTACATACTTTTGTTCTCATGTCAAATAAAGGTACACGCTACTCAGTCAGTCCTACGGGATAATAACGTGGCGAAATAGAGGTGAACGTGTCGTGCGAATAAAAAGGAAGAAAAAGAAATAAAATCATTCGTAGCTTCTTCAATCAATCATATTCGCGAGGAGTTTTTATGCCCTTATCGCCTTTAAGCCTTCAGCCGCGCTCTATATCTCGCCGCTTTCGTCATTACGTATCTCAATTTTTTCGTGGGTAGCGTTAAAATTACAGGCTTACACTCTCTTTCATTCTCTCTCGCTCTCTCCTTCCCCGTGACGGCGTCGCTCACGACGTCCCCGCGTATATCTTCGTCACGCAAAACCGTTGCGCGAGATCAACTCTGTGCACGATCCCGACTCGTCTCGTGGTATAAACGTTGTGGGTGTATCAAGTATCGAAAGCACCGAGCGCGAAATTGCTGCTGCCAAAGTCAGCAGCGGATCCGATTGCAACGTAACGACAATTAATAAACGAACGGACGAACGAACGACACATTAGTCTCTCTTGTAGTTTCAATCAACAGGATATACCAGTTTGCCAGTGGCAGTATCCGTCCTCACCTCCGTTAAGTTGTCACTTACGCGCTAAAGTAATTTTTCACCGGAGGCGGCGGCGGTGCGCGCCCCGGCTTCTGTACAGTGCTCTCTTCTTTTTATAAATAATTCTTATAAATTATTATAGTATAGTCTCTCTACGTTTCTTTTCCTCTCCGTTCTTCCCTCCGACATAAAAATCATACAATGTACATAATGCTCGCTCACGGCAATTCACCTTTTAATACTGCGGGTAATCTTGCCCTCCGCTGTTAATAGTTCGTGTGTGTGTGCGTGTTAGTATGTGTGTGTGTGTGTGTGTGTGTGTGTGTGTTTTGTAACGGCATTACCGATCTCGGTCGTCTCGCTTTAATCTCTCGGAATTTCTCTCACGCGTGCTTGAAGGAGCTGTCAAAACTGCAGCGACGAATCGAAAAGTTCGAAAGGTTTAAGCTAACTTAATACTCTAGTAAAGAGGTAAGTTTCAGCTGCCCGGATAAGGCATTTGATCCGGAAGGGCGGACGAGTGATTCTGGTTGGGACTCTGATGAAAATGCGGACTGCTGCCGTCCTGTGAAATCTCACCGACCACCGACTCCTCGTACTTCCCCCTCTTGAAGCGTCCGTATAGCGAGGAATACGGCAGGTTGTAGTGGATTGCTGCTTGATTGATGCTCATGTGACCTAATCTGCAATCACAAATTGAGGAAACCATAATATGGAAATTATATAAAGTTAATATCATTGAATAGGAAGAATACTGATGCAAATAAATATTAAATTTGATAGAAAACATACAACAATTTGGAACACCTCAAATATATGTTTTACAGAAAACTTTGCAAGAATATAATGTAATACAAGATGAAATAATATAAGAAAACTGCAGAGAGCAAAAATAAAAAGATTCGTTCAACAAATATATACACAGGTGTATATATATATATATATTCCATTTTAAATAAGCAAAAATCACGAAAAATATGAAAGATACTAAAAAACGTTTGAGACAAAAGTTGCATGGTTTCAAAGGCAACATAAAACAACTATATCATTTTGTTTACAGATGGCGCTACACCATCGATATTTAAGGAAAACTTGGTTTAAGGAAACTTTTCCAAGACTTTTCTTCAAGACTTTTTCAAGTGACACTTTTTCTTCCGACAAATAGTGAGATATCGTGAGTTAAATATTGAAAAAGTTATCAAGCTTTACTTAAATATCTCAAAAAATATTAAGCAAATAAAAAATGTTTCAGATGAAAGTTGTTAAAATTAATTGGTAGAAAAAGATGATATAATAAAAAATTGAGATTTCTATTTAAGAAAAATAATGGTCATTTAGCAACATGATATAGTTGTTTTATGTCTTCCTTGAAGCTATACAACTTTTATCTGACACAATTTTTCCTAAATACTTAGTTTTCGAGATATTTCGCCGTCTCGGTACTTTTTATATATCCTGTATATATACATACAGGGTGGGGGGTTATAAGTTTACGACCCGAAGTGTGAAGGTAAGTTGGATTAAGACAAATATAAAAGTCCCATACCGTTTTGCGAGATTCGCAATAATTATCGAGTTATTAATGACAGAAATCTGAGGAATGGCAGCGCGCCGATATAGATGATTGGAGAAGCGTTGCAGCTACTCAGCCCACAGCACGGCCCACTCGACCTAGCAACTGTTGGCGGCGTGCGGCGAGACGTAGGTCCAGCGAGATAAAACAACGAATAGCAGTGCACTGTCTTTCCCCTCGCCGCGCACCGGCAACAGTTGCTGGATCAACTGGGCCGCGCTGCGGCCTAAGCAGCTGCAACGCTTCTCCAATCATCTATGCAGGCGCGCTACCACTCCTCAGATTTCTGTCATTAATAACTCGATAATTATTGCGAATCTCGCAAAACGGTATGGGACTTTTAAGTTTGTCTTAACCCAATCTACCTTCACACTTCGGGTTGTAAACTTATAACCTCCTACCCTGTATATACAGGGTGTCTCATAACTAATGTTGCAGAGGAGACATAGAACGGTTTAAGACAAACATACAAGTCCCGTACCGTTTTACGAGATTTGCAGTAATTATCGAGTTATTAATGACAGAAATCTGAGGAGTAGGAGCGCGCCGACATAGATGATTGGAGAAGCGTTGCAGCCATTTCGACAAGAGCGCGGCCCGGTCGATTCAGAAACTGTTGCCGGTGCGCGGCAAGGGGAAGGACAACGTGTCTACGCTACTTGTTTTTTATTTCGCCACTCCTACGTTTCGCCGCATTCTGCCAATAGTTGCTAGATCGATTGGGCCATGCTGTGGCCCGAAAGGCTGCGACGCTTCTCCAATCATCCATTTCGGCGCGCGCTCATTCGTCAGATTTCTGTCATTAATAATTCAATAATTATTGCGAATCTCGCATAACGGTATAGAACTTTTATGTTCGTCTTAACCCGCTCTATGTCTCCACGAGCTCTGCAACATTAGTTATGAGACACCCTGTATATATTTGTAATTTATAACTTAAATCTTAGCGGGAGAGAGGATAAAATAGTGACTGTATTGATTTTCCTCTTTAAAGTCTCCTGTTTATACAATAATCGACAAATACAGCTAACAATTATATACTTAAAGTATCAGACTCATTGGACAAATTCGATAGAGCCAATACAACTACAAAGGAATTTCGACTTAAACACTTCGGCGAATACCTCGAACTTTTTCCAACAGGCACATGTTCGCTCGTTGAGCAAACACCAATCTCTTTAATCAACACCGATCTCGATAAGCACAGTGACGGGCGTTAATGATAAAAGAGTCGTCTAGTACCTGACGGCCTCGAGAGCCTCAGTCATCGCGTCTTCGCTCCACGGTGTGGGGTTACTTCTGCTGAGCTCGATTCCCTCCCGCTTACATCGTCCGTACAGCGTACCGGTCGGTATGCCGAATTCGGTGGATGCCCTTTGCACGGATGTCTGGCCGGATCTGATCGCCTCTAGGGCGCGATCCAGGTCGGCGGGCGACCACGTCGTGGGACTCGCATTGAACGGCGCGGCCAGTCTGATGCCTTCTCTCCTGGCGATCTTGTACAACGTGCTGGAGGGTATGCCGAACGCCTTGGACGCTTTATTAGCCGAGATAGTACCGGTGCGTAGGGCTTCTAAAGCGTTGTTCAGGCTCTCGTCGCTCCAGGACTTTGTGGGACCGTCTTTCTTCGGTGTGTCGATGCCCAGTCGATGCGCCCGTTGCCACAGTGTCGTCGACGGAATTCCAAATGTTGCTGAAACGTTAACGAACTTGCTCATCTACACGTCCATTTTTGGGACCTCTAAGATGGACCTTGAAATGATCCACAGAAACATCTTCGTATTTTATGAAATGTAGTCGACGTTGGACATTATTTTATACAAGTCAGCGTACGATTTATGGCGCCAAGTTATCGTTCAGTATACATCATTGTCAAATTTTAGCAAGCTGAATCGCGTGAAATAATCCGGAACAATGATCGTGAAGGATTGACTCGAAACAAAGAAAGATATCAAAGGCGATCCGAATGAAATGTTGACTGTATTAGTTTTTCCGCTTCTATCTGGAGCGATCTATCAGTCATTATAGCCAAAGAATAAATAGAGAGCGGTAGAAACAAAATGCGAACGGTAGATTAACTTGATCTCCTTACAAGAGGCTTTCGTCAGGCTCATGTCGTGGTTCCTCAAGGCTTCCAGCGCTGCGTCCATGTCCTCCTGCGTCCACGACTTGGAGCCGTGATGATGCGAGCTCGACTGTCCGGAGTGGCCCCTCGAATTATTCTCGCCAGAGTCCGAGTGCACGGAACTGCCCGACGGCATCAGCCCGAGCAGCTCCGGCGTAATCATTATCATGTTGTCGTTGTCGGCGGCATTCTTCGAGCTGACGCTCGCCCGATCCGACATGTGGCTGTCTATGTCAATCGTGTCCGATGAGTCCATCGTGTGTAACGTCTCGAATTTTATCTTGACGCTGTCGCAATTCTGAATCTCTGCGAACAAGTCGCGAGAAAGGGACATGATACACAGCTGGGCGGTTCGCTCGCGGGGAATCGACATCGGAGATAACTCCACGGACGGTGCACCCTCGCAGTCCCCCGGCGGACTACTCGCGGGAGCGAAAAGCGCGAACCTGCCACCTGGGGATCGATAAGAGAGCGCTGTCGAAGGCGAAACTGGACGCGGACGCTAAACGAGGTTGCGTGGGCTGCCTACGAACCGAGCAACGCAAATCTAATCGCGACCAGTTAAGCGTGATTAGGCCAATTATTTTGATTCCCTGTCCGCCTAATGACCGGCTGCACTTTCAGCCCGGTAGTGTGTTCTCTCTGCTCTACGCCGCACCCCGACGTCGTCCGAGAGGAAGAGAAAGACAGACAGACAGACAGACAGACAGACAGACAGACAGACAGACAGACAGACAGACAGACAGACAGACAGACAGACAGAGAGAGAGAGAGAGAGAGAGAGAGAGAGAGAGAGAGAGAGAGAGAGAGAGAGAGAGAGAGAGAGAGAGAGAGAGAGAGAGAGAGAGAGAGAGAGAGAGAGAGAGAGAGAGAGAGAGAGAGAGAGACAGACAGACAGAGACAGACAGACAGAGAGAGAGAGAGAGAGAGAGAGAGAGAGAGAGAGAGAGAGAGAGAGAGAGAGAGAGAGAGAGAGAGAGAGAGAGAGAGAGAGAGAGAGAGAGAGAGAGAGAGAGAGAGAGAGAGAGAGAGAGACAGATAGATAGATAGATAGATAGATAGATAGATAGAGAGAGGGAGGAAGGGATGGGAGAGACGAATGGAAACGCACGACGTTCATGTCGAGAAGACCGAGTGAATGGGAGACGATGCATCACGACGACGACGACGAAGCAAGACGTATAATCGCGAACCGCGGCTACATATGTACCGAATATTTAATCATCGAGAAGGAAAACCGGCAACCCAAGACGCAACACCGGAAATTGTAATACAATGTTTTGGTTTGTTTATCATTTTATCTAGCGAAGCCCTCGAAACTCGCTATAAGATTCAGGAAGCTCAAAGAAAGGTATTCTTTAAATTTCCTGCAACTTTAAGTTATCCTTGAAGGTTCCCGTCTCCTCGCTGTGGTCATTCCGATCTGCGACGTCAGGAGGGAGAGAGGGCACGCTCTCAAAGTTCTCTCAAAAACCTACTCGGAGGCTCAACAGAGACAAGCACGTTCACAAAGTGAACACCTGGACCGATCGATCGAGCAGATCTGTAAGATAGTCCGAAACATTTTCCTTCCTTCTCAACCGGAAAATCAACGTGACGGGATTGTGAAAGGTAAATTTTTCATTCGCGTTCATAAGATAAGTCGGTAAGATTGCACGTCGCGTTAATTTTGCGGTTATCCGTTGAGCATTAGAAAGAGGGAAAAAGTGTCCGGACTGTTTTTGACAGACTGCCAGCGTAGTTTCGTGCGGATGATCCCTCTATACCTCTCGTCGTGTCCTCCCGACACCGTGAGAATCGAGAGCTGGCCGCGGCGAGGAGACGGGCGAGAGCCCCTGAAGCGATAACTTCAAGTTATTCTTCGAACGTTTCTTCAAATCTGTGTATCAGTTCTTTTCTACAACTTCATTCCATAACTCGTGCACGCCGCACACGTAACTTGTTTTCGGGGCTGAGCCCACTTGAACGCGTCCGTCGCAGTTCAGTTGGGCGCTGCTCATCGAGAAACGACTGAGAGCATGGTTAAGCAAGTATCGTTCGCGAAAGAACGACAAAGTGAGCGCTCTGATCCCCGCGCCGTGTGTTCAGTTCGCACAGTATGTTCATCCACGATTGCGACAATCGTCGTCGAGAGGGCCGAACGGGTCCTGAACAATTCAAGACGCGTGAGGTTCTCTACCTGTAGAGTGATGATCCGGATCTCTCAGGTGGGTGATGGTGGTGCCGACTAAAGTAGCGCTGGGCGGAGTGGGCTGCGTCTCAGGGGGTAGATCGACTTCTCCCGGGTCCGGATGATGGCCATAGTGACCTAGCCCTGTGTGACAGAACATGTCACCTTTTTATTCCAAGTGAAAAGGGTCTGTTCTGGTCGGGCCTGAAAGCGCTAAATCGCCCCACACCTGGTTACTTGGCCGAGCGATTTCGCGCGCGCGCGTGAATCTACAATGCGGCTTTTCTTTTCTCTCGGCGGACTCGAATTAGCGCTCGCAACGCGAGCGACTCTCGTGCGCGACCTTATCTCTTGTCGTCTCTCTTACTATGCGGAACTTCTAGGCGGAATACGTAAAGTAATGTCATTTACCTCTACATCGAAAATAGCCAGTAGAGTTTTCGAACGGAAGACGGCGGTCCGAAACGAGCGATTCATACAGATGCTTTCTGATCGAACCCGGACACCCTTCCTCTAAAATGTGACATTACACACGATTACTGCATGTACATTTCGGCACAAATCGTCATTCGCGTTCCACGCATTGGAAAGCACGAATTGAAGATTAGCAGAGAACGAGAGAAAGAGAGAGAAAGAGAGAGAGAGAGAGAGAGGGGGGGGGAGGAGGAAGGGAGAGCTCCGGTCAAGCCAATGAATTTCGATCTAGCAGAACAGTCTCTGGCAGAGAAATGCGTCGACGGACGACAGGCAAGACGAGAGAATGGACTCTAAACGCAGTCAATACGACGGCCAGGTGTGGGGCGGACGCCATCGGTCGAGTCGACTTACCGTTGTTGTTGTTGTTGTTATTCGCGCCGTTACCGTTGTTGTTGTTGTTGTTGTTATTGTTGTTGTTATTGTTGCGCTGGCAAGTGTCCAACACTACTGCTGCTGTTGGTGCCTCCGCGCACTCTTCATCTTCGGCTGGCCAGTCCCGATGGTTCTGTGGAATATCCGGTACGAATTTAGCGCTCGACCCTGACGAGAGATCGAACCGCCCGACATCGCGGGACGGACGGCCGGCCGGCTGCGTTTCTACGCTTTCCCTCTTTCGCTTTCGTCTTTCCCTCTTCGCGCGCTTTCCAAGTGGTCAATTCTCCGCCATTATGGTTAAATTTGGACATCGCGCGCGGACACCGCGACCCGGCTCTGCGATCTCAACGCCGAGCGTGCTACTAGCGGCCGGTTTGTAATTTCTTATAAAAATTACTCGAATTTTACGCAGCGCTGCACCTTGAAAGCTTAACGGCCGTTGAAGAAAACGGATTGAAAGCGACGGGTAGAGATTTCGTTCTTGCGCAAGGAATTTTTTCGAATCATTTTCGACCGCTCCGGTAGAAAAATTTGCCGCGAAATCCTTCCCTTACAAATTTATATCATCTTTACTCCGAACTCTATATAAAAGATAAGAGGGAGAGAGAGAGAGAGAGAGAGAGAGAGAGAGAGAGAGAGAGAGAGGGGGGGGGAGAGGGAGAGATGTTATATTACAACGATACACGAACGATGAATCAAACTACAATAACGAAATAAACTATTGCGGACGAATAATAATATGCAACGTGGGACTCATCCGCATGTTTAAATATCCAAGCAGATTTAAGGGGAGATTTTAAGAAAAAAAAAAAAAAAAAAAAAAAAAAAAAAAAAAAAAAAGTTTTTTTTTACAAATAAGAGCCTTTCGTTTTTCATACAACATATGGTACTCTTCGATACGCTGACGTCTGTATTTTCGCTTTTCCAAGAATTTTAATATTTTAAGAAAACTTTCGGAAGTAAGAACCTTTCGTTTTTTTTCATACAACATGGAATTCTTCAATACGTTTGTACCTTCGCTCTGTGAAAGAATTTGCAACTCTACGAAATCAAATATGACAACAGAGCACAGAGTCGATACCCGACGTCCCCTTTATATCCTGACGATACTTCACAGTATCGCCGCTCTACACAGGGTGTCCGGGATCTTTTGGAAACGAAAAATTGCGAAGATTAATCAGATCAAACTGACAAGAAAAGTCAAATATCATTTCGCAAAAATCGCAATAGTTATTAAATTATTAATGATTGAAAATGATCTGGTGGTTCTTCTGTTCAGAATGACCTAGCGATAGATATGAATATATTGAACTTTGAACCCTGAACCTTGAATTTGTCGCTAGACACAATAGTCATCATATAATTGAAGATTAAGTCATTCTGAATAAAAAAGCCCTTTACACTAATTTTCAAGTTATCGATTAAAATGCTTCTAGATGTGGTCATTTTCAATCATTAATAACTTAATAATGATTTTTGCAAAATTAAATTTGACTTTTCTTCTCAGTTTGATCTGATTGATCTTCACAATTTTCCGTTTTCAAAAGATCCTGGACATTTCATATAAATGCTTATGTTTTTAAACTTTTTTTTTCTATGTCTCATTCTACATTCCTGCCGGTACTGTAAGTACCACTTTTAAAATTTAACCATTAAATTGTTGTAAAACTTAATTTTCTTAAAATTCATTCCTAACGTAACCTAACCTACTCCTTGTGTTAAATATACCAAACCCTTAAAGGCTGCCATGGGTAAAATTGCACCCAGTGAGAACTTTTGATCTTATTCAAAGACGTAACCATACTGGCAATACTAACTTTATGAATATTTATTCACACTATCAGTAGTAGTGACAATATTATGAAGAAAACAGATCAATTCTCACATATATTTTGCTACAAACATAACGAGAAAAGTCAGCTTGGGGTGATATTTGATGTGATGGTAGCCTTCAAGAGTTAATTGCACAAAAATAAAAAAAAATATAATAATAATAATAAAGTCTTGGATGAATTCTAACTCAAGATATAAAGGGTCAAACTCGTCACCGGTGAGCGAGGTGCAACTGACAAAATCGCAGACGCGAGTCCGTCTACCCCGGGATGGTAAGGTCTCGTCTGATGGAACGAAAGCTCTTTTCGAACGAAAGCTCAGACACGCGCGTAGACTCCGTCGCAGGTTGGCGAAGGTTACCTCTTTATTATTGCGGCTGTAATCTTCGTTGACCTCCTCCTCTTTATAGCGCTCGTAATGTCTCGGGTCGGTGGCGCGTGGCTCGAACGTGGTTCTCGGCCGCTTGTACCGCGGATGGTGCTTCTTCAGCTTCGTGTAGTTCAATCTCGGGGTGCCGGACTCCCTCGGTGGCGAGCTCAGGCTCACGGACGGCGGGCCGTCTCGGCTCTCCGGCACCTCGCAGAGACCCTTGATCTTCAGCTGGTCGGCCGTCTTCAAAAGTGACTGCGAACACGAAAACCGCCTTGAGTGTCGCATCCGTCCGCCGCAATCTCGCGCAGCTTCGAGCTTTCGAGCCGGGTCCGAAAAGTTCGAGCGACCCACGTTAATCGTGCGCCCCATCTCGGCGAAATATGAGAAGTCAAGGTAGCATAAACACGCCGGAGCTTTTACCGTCGCAACGCTCTATGCTGAGAGAGCGCTGAACTGTGCGCTCTCGTCAAATCGATCTTCGAGAACAAGAACCGTCGGGACCGTCGCGAATTTTTCTTCGATAATTGCATGCGACCGAACAAGTCGTAACAAATTTCCAGTTCCAAGCGTCGTAAGAAATTACGAAATTCGACTCCACCTCTAAATTGGAAATCCGTCGAACAGAGAGAACGAGGGCTGTCGAAGCCGCACATAATATATTCGCAAACACGGACGGCCGCGGCCGTGCAGATAAAGTACGAAAGCGCGTGCATATTTCGTGCGAGAAGTTCGCGCTCACGTTATCGCAATGTCGTATATTTAGTTTTATCGTACATCTCCCACCTAGAATAGTCTATCTATATAGGATAGATCATAGCCGCAGAGCAAGAGAAGAGCGACTTGGCGCGCGCGCGCGCGCTCTTCAGTCGAGAAAGCGCCAGATAATGAATTCTCGGATCACGAATTATCGTCGGAGTCACAAAGACCGTTCCGGTGCGAAGGTTAACGACGATATGCCGCAATCGTGTAGCCGGACCGACTTATCGCGGCCAAATGACGAATTCATTAATTATCGCGATCGGAACGGCCGCGCCCAGAGAGAGAGAGAGAGAGAGAGAGAGAGGATCAAGGCGCGGACGCGGAATAGAAAAATATTCATTTCGGTAAACCGCTTTGCGAGAGGCGGACGAAGGACCGCGCGCGAGTCCAGTCCGATTGGATTTGCATATTTCTCGCGCGCGAGCTCGTCGTCCCAGCATCTCTCGTTCCGCCCGGCGGCGGTGCAATTTCATCTCAACAGTGTGGCGGCGGCGGCGGCGGCGTCGAGCACCGTCCACCCACCAGCCGCCGCCGCCGCCGCCGTCGCTTCTGAAAATCAACGCCGGCGATCCAGTTTCGGCGAGTCGCGATACGCCTCGCGTCGCCTCTCTCTCTCCTCTCCTCTCCTCTCCTCTCCTCGCGAGACTTTACATTCTTGATGATGGAAAATCCGACATCGCGGACAGAAAATCAAGTCATCGAGGCGAACGACAATTCTCATTCATTCTTGTTTCCAAACTTTCGAGCGTGTGAGTTCGTTCGAAGAGGAGACGCACACGATGCTCCGGAGAATTGGCAATTTAAAGCCAATGTTTATTCAAAACGGATATTAATAACGTTAAGAGCATACGCGAGAAAACTTTTCGCGAATATTGCGTGGCGCTGAGAGAGAATTATAAAAATACACAAATTTCGAGTATGCAAAGTTGATGAAGGATAATTTCTTAATTTTTCGGAAAAAAGAATCCGGATCTCCGACAGACTGGTAACGAGGTACAGTCGAAGGAGCACATTCTCCATTTTCGACAGTTGCTACGTCAACAAACACACGCGCTTCGGATTCGCGATGTAAACCTCGCAAAGTAACCTTGAAATGCAGACGCGAAGCGGAAGAGGGAAGGAAAGAGGAGAGAGAGAGAGAGAGAGAGAGAGAGAGAGAGAAACAGGGTGGAAGAGAGAGGAAGGGAAATTTAAGAGACGATGAATGACGAAATGGGGGAGCACGGAGGAGACGAGGAAGAGGAAGATGACAGACGCCTGTTCCGCGTGTTGCAAGTCGCGTGGCTTCTCGGGACGTCACGACGTCCACGTGGCCGATCTACGCGAAGGACCTTGCGAGCGAAGAAGAGCCTTGCGAACGATGACTAAAGTGCGAAGAAAGGATGAAGGGCGAGCGAGCGAGAGAGAGAGAGAGAGAGAGAGAGAGAGAGAGAGAGAGAGAGAGAGAAGAGATGATGAACGGCTAAAGCGAAAGAATGGAACAGAGACGCGGGAGTGCACGAGGAAGGAGAGAAAGAGAGAGAGAGAGAGAGAGAGAGAGAGAGAGAGAGAGAGGGGAAGTACGGAGAGAGGAAGAGAGAAGGAGCGAGAGAACTAACGGCAGCGCGACCCTCGCGCGCCGAAGCCGAGCCTCTCTGTTCTTTAATCAAGCCGGGGGTGGCACGATTAGGCGGGGTCTGCGCGGTTGCTGGCGGCGTGAGAGTGGCACCGGAGGGTAGCGGGAGGGAGGACGGAAGGAGGACGAGGGCCGGGGGACGGAGGAAGGTTGCACCGGGGGGGGGGAGGGGGTGTCGGTGGCGGCTGGAACGCGCTGCGTGGGTGGAGGCGGCGGATCGGGCTGGATGGATTGAGGGAGTGTGACGAGGAGCGGGGGGGAGGAGGAGGAGGGAAGGAGGGAGAGAGCGGGAGGAAGAGAGAAAGTGCGTGAAATGCAGAAAGAGCGAGGAGGCGGGCGAGGGAGTACGGGAGAAACTCGGGACAGGAGGGGAAGGGTGAGATGCGAGCGCGAGAGAGTGAGCGAGAGGAGAGCAGGAGAGTGGGCAGGAGCGAAGAAGAGGAGGAGAAAGAGAAAAATTCAGAGAGGAAGCAAGACGCAGACAGAATAAGAGAGTATACACCGAAGAGGAGAGGAAGGAGGAGGCAACGACGACGACGACGACGACGACGACGACGACGACGACGACGGCGGCGCAGGGATTGTGGAGAAAGAGAGACAGAGGTGAAACGCGCGCGGCAGAGGCAAAAACGCCTGCAGGAAGAATGGGGAGGCCTCCGACGCGGCTGTCGCGGCCCCAGGGCCGTATCGACCACCCCCAACCCCCGACGCGGCACTCGCTCGCTCTCGCTCTTTCCTCGACGCTCGCGACAGCATCGACACCAATGACTTCCAAGCGTTTCCACGCGCGCACACGTCCACCTGTCCCTTTCGTTCTCTCCCTCTCTGTCTCACTCTCGCTCATTCCTTCCCCTCCCCCGCTCTCGCTCCGTCTCTCTCGCTCCCTCGCTCCTGCTCGCCGGCTCGTTACGACCGGGCGTGTGCACGGCCGCCCCGAAACGTCCGCGGATCTTCGATCTCGGCGGCTCGGGAGTTTGATGGCGCTGGTCGGGTCGCGGGGCACGCGATAATCGAGCGTCTCCGTCGGGGCGAGCGAGCGAGCGAGCGAGCGAGCGGCCACCCTCGACGACGACAGCAGCGGCGCGGCTTTTGGCAAGGAGGATCGCACCTCGATTCTCGGCCCTCCGCATTCAGGCGTCGATATTCTCGGTATCATGAATGCACAATGGGATCTTTGTACTCCGGACATTGTCGTCACGTTGCGTATCACACGAGATACGGCCTGAAAAATTCCTTTAATTTCCTCGGGAGAGATCACCTCACATCTTGGGACGGGACGTCACTTGAAGACGTTTCCGCGTCCTAGAGAAAAAGTTCCCTTATCTCCCTCTGTCACTTTGCGATTTAACAGTGCCGATTGTAAGATTGGGCGAAGTGATTTGGGCTTCCCCAAATTCAAACAAGAGCGATCACGGCGTCGGCTTTGATCTTAATAGCCTCCACAGTAAGTTAAGATCAAAGAGAGCCGTACAATACCAGCGGCTTATTAATATATTCCCGGAGTTTTGCCGCTTTTCTAAGGGAGTGACGACTTTCTCCGCTGGACAGAGAGAGAGAGAGAGAGAGAGAGAGAGGGCTGCAGAAACGATCTCCGTCACTTTTCTTCCAATTGCGCGATTGAGCGACAGTCGATGACGCGCGTCGTATAATGCACGGCGCTTCGTAATTTAGGCACACGTTGACTGTTAATTGCAACGCGAACAGCGTTTGATCGAAGTTAAATCGTACGGCCCGGTGTAATTGCAGCAATTTGCTGTCCGCCGTCAAATTTTATCGTGTGTCAAAATTACCGAATATGTGCCGATAAGGATTAACTTTAATTAGCGAGCACTTGACACATGCATTTTCACGTCTTACGGCTCGCCGATGCGCGAAATACAATTTAACGTGACACGCGGCGGTCGGCATGTCGGCAATGGAATATCAGTGAAGAGACCAAATGAGAAGAAAGGAAGGAAGGAAGGAAGAAAGAAAGAAAGAAAGAAAGAAAACGAATCCGCTGTGCGCAATTATTATTCGCACACAAGCGCAACGACGCACGTCGTTAAATATGATGACGCGGCCGTTTTGACACTTGACGCATCTGACACTTTGCCGAAAACTTCAATACGGAATTACCGCGATCTGCAAAGCGGACGGACAAAGAGGAAGGAGCGAGGACGCAAAGGAGACTCGTAACGACGGCCGGCCTAACGTTCATCTACGTAGATGCGAGCAACAAACATGCCTACGTATAAAACCGCACGTGACCGAAAATTTAAAAATATCCCCGCTCGGAGTTGGCAGGGGGCGATATATCGATCGCGCCGTCACGACTCCCCACAATCTGCGCTGCCGTTGCGGAAATCGCCGTGCGCGGCGAAATTAATCCGCGACGGACGGTTTTAACGGAGTGAGGTTTCATCCGGGAGGATGAAGTCGAAAGAATTCAAGACGCCGGGCGGTTGACCGTGCGGCGAATACAAAAAGCTCGCATCCCCAAGGGCGTAGTCGAGAATAGCCGAAAATTAATAAACTAGACTACCGGCCCAAACAAACTGCCAGGCGTTCCGCGAAGCGCGCGCGAGAGCGCCGATCGATCCCTCTCCTTGCGAGGGACGCGTCGCACGGTAAATCAAATTCGGTGGAGACCGAGCGCACAATGGCGGGAGGACCCGTCGATCGCGATGAAATTACCGCGCCAATGAGTCGTGTCTTCGTGTATCCGAATGAAACGAAACGAAACGAAACGAGACGGGGCGAAATGAGACGAGACGGGAGGAGACACACATCGTAGCGCTCTCTCGGCGGAATTCTCTCTCGGTAGAATTTCGCTGGCAATGTCGTTGCGCGGATTCACGGATGAAAGAACGCGGGGAGGGCAAGCAGGGGGGCAAGA